TCTTTCTTTTTGCAGCCCTGATGGTGTTGGCATAGACGCCAAGACTCAGTGACTGCAGGGGCCAGGGGATGATGCTTAAGACGGTACCACCTTCAACGGTTGTTGTTGATGATGATGTTACATGGTTGAGCTGAGCAAGGTTCTCGAGCAAGGCTGAAGAACATGATTCCATTTTCCAAAGCTGGCATAATTAAAAGAAAAGATATATACAGTACTTGAAAGGTTGTCATACAGGGAAGCAAAATCTGTTCTCAATCATCCCAGACTGCAGGGCACAAAATAGTTGGCACAAGTTACAAGAAGGTAGATTTAGGCTGAACATCAGAAAAATATTCCTAACTGTTAGAGTAGTATGACAAGGGAATCCATGACCTCGGGAGTTGGTGAGTGCTTCAAAGTTGGAGGCATTCAAAAGAATTTCTTTCTTTCTTCCTTTCTTTCTTTTTGCAGCCCTGATGGTGTTGTTTTAGAGATTTGCAGCTGATTATGAATTTTTTATAAAATTGGCATAGACGCCAAGACTTAGTGAATGCGGGGGCCAGGGGATGATGCTTAAGATGGTACCACCTTCAACGGTTGTTGATGATGATGATGTTACATGGTTGAGCTGATGGGGCCCATCATGGTTCTCAAGCAAGGCTGAAGAACATGATTCCATTTTCCAAACTTGGCATAATTAAAAAGAAAAGATATAAGCACTTTTCAAAGACTTGAAAGGTAGTCCTACAGAAGAGGGGCAAGATCTGTTCTGGATCAACCCAGAGTGCAGGACATGCAACAATGGGCTCAAGTTAAAAGAAGCCAGATTTCGGTTGAATATCAGGAAAAACTTCCTAACTGTTAGAGTAGTATGACAAGGGAATCCATGACCTCGGGAGTTGGTGAGTGCTTCAAAGTTGGAGGCATTCAAAAGAAATTTAGACCTGGCAGATACCCCTTGACTGCATTGAGCAGGGGGTTGGACTTGATGGCCTTAGAGGTCCCTTCCGACTTCATGATTCTATGAAGCTAGAAACCCAAAGTTTCGACACCTGGGAAAGAAGACCCCCCAAACCAGGAACCTGGGCGGGATGAGGATGGGGCAACTTGGAGAAAGTTACCAAGGAAAAAGCAGCTCTGGGTTGGCTCTTGACTGGGTGGCCGGGGAGAGGGCGAAGGAACAGAAGGGAAGGGGATGGACAGGGGGGCGGGCGGGCGCGCTTTGGGGCCGAGCGAGCGCTCCGAAAAGAAATCGGCGTCTCGGTTTCACCTTTTCTCATGCAAAGTCGGTTGTCACACTGGAGGCGGATCCTCGCCCCTTTTCTCTCCCGCTCTGTTTAGGAACAACACAGGCACCCCCCCGAGCTGCGGGAGTTACTCTTAGGAGGGAGCGAATGCGAGCGAGCGCAAGAACCGGGGCGCGCGTCTTTACGCACGGCGCTCTCCTCT